GGGGGATGATAATCCAAAATCCACAACCAAGTCCCTCAGCTCTCCCAACTGGACACTCCCTTCTCTCCAGAGGAGATCCAGGATGCCTTCTTCCAAATGAACCTTCATGCTAGCCCTTGTCCAGATGGGCTGGGGCCAGGCTTCTATCGCAGATTCTGGCACTCGGCTAAACACTCCATCCTTTCCTTTTTAATGATTTCACCAACCTGCAGGTCGATGTTGAATGCTTCAGCCGGGCTCACATGGTCCTTCTGCCTAAGAATGATTCTGCCAAAAAGATTGAGTGATTCGGGCTCTCGCGGGCGACCGGTCGCGCCCCGGTTTCTCCTCCGCCAGCTCTCCCTCACTCCCCCCTCCCCGCCGCCGTCGCCGGCGTTCGCCGCCGGGCCTGGCCCGGGCGACGCTGGTGGCGGCGGCCCCCGGCCATTCCCCTCTCGGTTGCGCTCTCCGGCGCGGGGCGGAGGGCGCCGGGGGGTGCTCCCTAGGCGGTGGCGGTCTGGCGTGGCGGCGGGGCTTCCTGGCGCGGCGCGGGAGATCGGCTGGATGGCGGCGTCGCCGTTGGCGGCGGTGTGGCGCGGCCTGGCGGCGCCCGCCCGGCCCATATCTGGGCCCTTCGGGCCCCATCTGGGTCTGGGCGGGCCGACGGCGGGGCGGGTTGGCGGCGTGGCTTCCAGGAAGCGGGGGAGCGGCGATGGGCGTTGGGGGCTGGCGGTGCTGACACCGCCCTGCTGCAGCGTGGCCGGCGGGGCTTAGCGGGCCCGATTCGGGCCTGGCCGGGCCAGGGGTGGCCTGGTTTGCCCTGTTGCTGCGTCCGAACGGCGACCATGACGGTGCCGAAGGCACGAGCCTCCTGCACGACGGCGGAGGAGGTGGTCCCTCCCGCGCGGCTATGGCGCTGCTGCTCCCGTCAACCAACGCCTCCTCTCCTCGTTCTTTTGGCCTCGTGGTGGTGATCTCAGTAAGGCGGCGTGGGTGCCGTTGCGACCGCGGTGGCGCATGCTGGTGGGCGGCGAGCTGGCTGGTTTGCTCTGATCCGATTGGGCGGTGGGGTTTGGAGTTGGGAGAAATCCTTGCTGGGTCTTCCGGCTACGATACGGTGACGCCTGCGGGTGCCACCATTCCTCCCTAGAGGGTGTCGGTGGTCTTCATTCCCCTCTACCCTCCGCGTGCCGGGGGAAACCCTAGGACATGTCCGGGCAGCAGCGTCGGCGGCGTCGCATTCCTTCCTGGAGGTGCTGCTTGGTACGCGGAGGATCGGAGCCTAGGATTGTGGTGGGTAGATTTCGAAGGGCGCATTGGTAGTGGGTCATCCGCGCTTTGTCGAGTTGCCGGTGTTGGCATTGTTTCTTCTTCTTTTTCTTTGGCTTGTTGTGCTGCTCACCCCAGCGTATGCTATGTAATCGGTGTTGGTGCTTTGGAATACAAAGCGGGGGAAACCCTTTTTCAGTAAAACTGCCCCCCTGAAGCTATTGCTAACGCCATCACCATTAGCTCAAACCTTTTATCCCTCTGCTAGTGCATGACAACCAAACCAGCTTCATCTCTAACAGAAATATCACAGAAAACTTTATCTACACCGCAGACATCCTTAGTGCCTGCCACATCAGAAAGGCCCCCGCGATGATTTTCAAGCTCGACTTCGGAAAAGCTTTTTGACTCCATCTACTGGGACTCCCTGCTGCTCATCCTCACGGCACGGGGTTTCCCACCTACGTGGGTATCCTCGATCAAGACTCTCCTCATCTCCAGCAAAATTGTTATTCCTCTCAATGGTATCCCCCTCTCCCTTTACCTCTTTATCATTGTGGCAGACCTGCTGCAATGTACGATCCTGCAGGCTTTCAAACCAAATAATTTCTGCCACCTAATCTACCCTGACCGCACTCCCACTGTTCTGCAATATGCTGATGACACTCTTATCATTGCTCAGGCCTCGGCCTCGGCCGCCACGAATCTAAAATCCATCTTGGACGACTTCGCCCTGGCTACGGGCCTACCCATCAACTTCCACAAAACAACTTCCCTTCCCATCCATACCGAGCCGACGCTTGCTCAAAATACCACAAACGTTTGGCCACGACCTTTCCTGCTTTCCCCGGATTTACCTAGGACCCCCTGTCTCAAACTCGTCTCCCCTCATCTGCCTTCAAACAACTGGTACAACGCTTTCTAAAGTACCTCGCCGGCTGGGCCGCCGCCCGCCTACTCTCTCGGGGTGGCCGCCTAACCCTAATCTCCGCCACTCTCGACACTCTTGCCACTCACTTCATGTCTGTCTTCAAACTCACTAAGAAAATTATCAAAGTTTAGACCCGATTTGTCGGTCCTTCTTTTGGGCTGTCGAGGAAACCTGCTCGGTCGCCTAGTGTCTTATCCCTTGGAAAAATGTTGCCTTCTCCTAAAATTTGCCTTCAAACTTCTTCAAAAACTAGACTTACCTTGGGCTAGATGGTTCCTTCAACACTACTCGCTTAATTTTTTTCTTTTACACCCTGAAACCCCTCCTTCCTTCGGAAGATTGTTAAAAACCAGATCCAAAACCTTTTCTCAATTTCCTTTGTTTTAATAAACAGTGGCACCTCCACCTACTTTTGGTTTGACTCTTGGCTCACCGATACATCGCTAGCCCAAAAATACCCTAACCTTTTCTCCCACTCCACATACCCCTCCATTTCAGTCTCTGAGGTTGTGCATGATGGCCTAATTGCTACCCTGCAGAACCACCTAACCCATGCTGCTTCTGCCGAGCTTGTTGTTCTTCTATCTTTATTGCAGGATGTCACTACCAAGGACGCTCCCGATGACAGGTTCCTCACCCACGGCATCCCGTATTCCGCGAGGTGCGCCTACTCACTACTCTCCTCCGCCGACGAGGTCGACATCCACGCCGACAGGATTTGGAGTTCCCAAGGCACCCATCAAGGTCAAGATTTTTGGTAGATTTCTCTTTTGGGGTCGACTAAATACCAAGGCGAACCTGCACCACTAAACCATTGCTTCTGACTCTTCTTGCCCGAGGTGTGCCCACCACTTCGAGGATGCCTCTCACCTAGCTCTAGAGGGGAGGCAGCGGCGGGTGTCAATCTGGATGTGGCGACCTTGAGGAGGAAGACCTACGGGTGGTGGTGTATGTTGGCCGAGCAAGGACGGATCGACCAGATCGATCCAATTGGGAATATATGGATGAGGGCCTTTGTGCCTTCCTGGGAGAAGGGAATGAGCAGGGATATAATCTGGAGGAGACTACAAGCTATCGCTCAGATAGGGACCAAAGAAATAGATCGAGATTGGATTGCGCTTGTGGAGGCCTATGGGGCAAATACATAGTACAAAAGACTTGAGGTACAAGAAAGGAAAAAGACTACTAGAACAATACTAATACGTCTTAACATATTCATACGAGGGCTCCAAAGCTGTATTAGTGTGGCAGATCAATAAGGGTAAGCCTGGAGACCTAAAGTGTAAGTTCAATATCCCAACAGTAATCATCATGCAGTTGTGTACGTAGCTGGATCACCAAATGGGATTCACACAAGGCGGTTTACCCGGGTTTGGCTCATGGTGGAGGTAACACCCTACTCCTGCTTTGATGTATAGTATATGACATATGAGAGCTTGGATCGCAAGGATCGTGTAGGTAAGATAGAATCATTGAGAGAGGACCATAGCCATGCCCAACTTACATATGGGGGCAGGGCTAGGTTCCTGGTTGGTTACGATGTAGCAGGATACTACTAGATCTGGGACGACAGTCTTTTGTTGGTGATACGCCCCTTGTGTACGTCCTCAGCCGGGTGGCAGGCTTGGGCCGCCTTGTGGCCTTATGGGCCAAGTCCCGGCCTGCTCGTACACTAGTTTGAAAGGTACAAAGCAAGGTTTGTAGCGAGGGGGTAGAGCAAAACATACGGCATTGACTATGATAAGACTTGCTCCAGTAGCAAAGATGAACACAGTGAGGATTATGATCTCCTGTGCAGCAAATTTCAGGTGGTCTTGGCATCAACTCGATGTGAAGAATGCTTTCTTGCAAGGGGCCTGCAGGAGGAGGTCAACATGAAGATCCCACCTAGGTTCTCTACTTCACAGACTGCTGACAAGGTATGCAGGTTAAAGAAAGCTCTTTATAGGTTGAAAAAAAGCTCTTTATAGTCTGAAACAGTCTCCAAGAGGATGGTTCGACAAGTTCAAACATGTTGTATATAATATGGGTATGGGCACTGTAATGGTTATCATACTGTCCTACAGACATGAAAAGGGGAAAAACACTAAAATTGATGTATATGTGAATGATATTATTATCACAGGGCAAAGAGGTGGCGGCTGGAAGAGTGTTTGGGTAAGGCCTTTAAAGTCAAAGATCTTGGCCGACTCAAATACTTCTTGGGGAAAGAGGTGGCAGGTCTGAGGGATAGCGCTATCTCAGATGAAGTATACTTTAGATCTCCTAAGCGATGTAGGAATGATAGGATGTCGGGCAGCATCAACTCCAATTGATCAAAACCACAAAGTGACAACTCAGTCAGGGGAGCCGGTGAATAAGGTGAGATATACAGATTAGTTGGGAGGCTGTTGTACTTATGTCATACACACCCTAACATTGCCTTTGCAGTAAGTGTGGTAAGCAGATATATGTAAGGGGGTATATGCATGAACCTAAGAGTAATCATACAGAATTCAGAGGTGCTTGAACAGAACCCCAAGAAGGGGACTATTATTTTTGAGTAACATGCCTCTTGTGGTTGACGGATATTGTGATGCGGATCGGGCCAGTTGCCTAGATGATCGTAGTAGATCAACTTCGGGATTTTGTGTCTTTGTTGGTGGGAACTTAGTATCATGGAGAAGTAAGAATGCAATTGTTGTGTCTAGGTCGACTGCCGAGACCAAATATAGAGCTATGGCTCAATGGCTCAATGACCACAAATTTATGAAAAGAATTTAAGATATTGAAGACTAATTGTGTGAATATGTAGTGTGATAACCAATCAGCAATCAACACACACAATCCAATGCAGCATGATAGAATCAAACTTGACGTTGGGATCATCCAGATTGAGCATGCGAGTTCCCGGTAGCAGATTCCAGACTGCTTGACTAAAGGATTGGGAACTAAAGAATGCAATCTAGCGTGTGCCAAGATGGGAATGATAGATATCTATCACCCCTATTAAGGGGAGTGTTGGATGAGGGGCCAATGTATTGCTGCCCCAAGTGGCCCGAGCCCATTGTGACTGGCCTAATGCACAGCCGCCTGGCCTGTCGACAAGGTACGCCCCTCCTGTGCTCAACACATAATGATGACACTGGGAACATACTTGGGGTTCACTGCTGAAACATTAAGCATTCCCATATTTTGGGTTGAGGTTTTATTGATTCTTTAGCAGATCTCTGTTTACCCTTTTCTTAATATACTTTGCATGTGCCTTTGTTAATTTTTTATTTGATAGGTCAAGAAAAAGCATTAGTACAGAAGTTGAATAACATGGTAAAAAAAAGAGTAATCCATACGAATCTCCAAATGGAAATGGGCAACCTTCAAATACATACCTGCTGCACAGAGAGATTCAAATCCTTTGCAATTATACAGCAAACTTTGTGAGGAATTATTCCCTTCTCGTTTTCATTCATGAGACGCGTTTGTAATTCCAGACGTTGTTTGGTAGTCATTACTCTTACTGAACTCCATGACCGTACATGACAAACCTACAAGGACAGTATCATATAAGAACTTCTACAGATGAAAATCGCAAGTTCACAGCTCAGGCCTGACAGATCTCAATAAGCTTGCAAAATAGCCAATGCCAACCAATATTGCTTACAGTGGGTATAATTGTTGAGCCCATAAAAAATAGCAGGATTAACTACTGGCAAAAAGTTCAACAAGCAATAACATGCTTGCAGCTGAAAATATATGTACTTAAAAGATACTACAAACAATATAGTGAATACCAGCAGTGGTCACAAATGGTATTCAAGATACATGCAACTAGTCAACTAAGGTTGCAATGGCTATATTGGGCAGCAGCACTGAAACAGACAATCATGAGTAAAACTTAAATAGTGAATACCAGCAGTAGTCACATATGGTATTGAACTCATACAGAGATGGCAATAGTCGAATACCACAATTATAAAATGGTAAGGATGCAAGCCAGCTCAGCCCATCCAAATACAGCATGCACATTTTACCAGAGAGCATCTTATGTGATGGAATAGTTTACAACAAGAGAATGAAATGAAGGTTAGCGTAAAAAAAAAAAAACACTGCCCAGTTTAGCCAACAATAACACCCGTAACATAACATGTTTTTCTCAGTGCATGAAGGGATAAAAAATAATATGTTCACCAGAACTATAATACTCCCTCCGTTTCTAAATATAAGTCTTTCAGACATTTTAATACAAACTACATACGGATGTATATAGACATATTTTAGAGTGTAGATTCACTCATTTTACTCCGTATGTAGTCACTTATTGGAATCTCTAAAAGGACTTATATTTAGGAACGGAGGGAGTCAAAGATTAAAAGAAATCAGATGTCCTTATTATTAGGTGGCATCATACCCACACGTTGCGGTGGATGTCAATAAAGTAAAGAATGAGATTAGAAGTTGGAATAAAAAAAACTCAAACCTAGAAATCATAACATGAATATTTGGGATGAATCAACCACCTACGTACATTAGGGGCCTCCACTATGTATTCTCCACTACGTAAAGAATGCATTTTTTTGCACATGATATTGCAAACAGCACTACATGTCTATAAATGCATAGCCGCAAAAGATTTTCGGTGGGTAAGGGGTGAGCGTAGAACACACTACCTCAGGAACACAATTACCAGGGAAGGCACTTGGCTCAGCTGAACCAACTGTTAGATAACAGTACTTTAATGTTTCCCAGTAAGCATCGACAGATTCCTGCTTTGAAAGCACAAAATCATGCCGAAATTTTGGACCATGGTTCACACTGACGTGTGATGACTGAACAATGCTTGGTGCTGGTTCTTCAATGTAAGGCCTGAGCTCCAGCGAATATGTAGGGATATCCCCTGATCGCACATCAGAATCCTCTACATGGTTGCTAACAAGTTCAATCAACTAGCAAACACAAAAAAAACAAATGGTCACTGTTGTGCTCGCCAGTCCAGATAGCATGCAAGCTGACTTGCATTAAACATGAAGAGGAATTGCTATAACAAAAGAAACATCAGCCAAATGTCGACCCAATAAACCCAGCTTTGTGATGTTAGTTTTAAGAACACACTTGAAGTTTGAGATTCTCGCAATACTAATTGAAAATAGAAAACGCAAATATTACCTTGAGCCTATTTAAAATAGTTATTAAGCGTGAGAGGCGGCCCTTGGCATGAGTGCCCGTGAGCTGACTGTATACGCCGATAGGAATCTCTGAAAGTGTTCTCCCACAACACTTAGTTACAGTGCTGCTGTCAATCTTTGCTGATCCCACAACTTGTAGAAAGAGTTCAAGAGGCATTTCTTTTATAGCTGCTGTGATCGAAAACTGACACGATTGATTAAGGTTCTTGTCATGCTGCCCTTCTTTGGCACAATGAAGATTTGGCAAACCACTAACATATTCCCACAGAAATTTATGTAACAGCTTTGCCCGAATCATCTTTGCACCTATGAATCCATTGGCATGAATAGCTTCTGATATTGGTATTTTTTTAACTTTGGCTCTGCGTTGAACCTTCAATCCATGTATGGCAAGCGTATGCTTTTGCTTCAATTTAGCTGCCGCACTTGAACGCCTTTGAGAATCAAAATTCCTTAGTCTGTTCCTAATTTGATCCATGAGTTCCGGTGACATGACCTTGACAGAAGGATTCAGTATCACATCAACAGAACGACTGCCAGTGTAGTCTGTAACAAGAGGGGCATTAACTTTGATACACTTTAGCTGAAGCTTATTCAAAGTGCGAATCAATGTCTTCCTGTCCATTATTTTTCCATTTTCCTTTTTCTCTAACCATTTACGTAACTCCACCATCAGTACAAAATCCTTTTTCTGCACAGGGAAACAGGAAGGTGCTACATAAGATGCGGACAGATATGCAAAGGGTGTACATGCACAGGTAATGAACATGATACGCGCACACGCACAGATTGCTTCTTGCAATTCTGATTATAATAAAACGACAGATTATTCTCTTGCATCAGCACCAGTATGATAGGCTGTGCCTACCTCTATGTATCCTTCATTGGAGCGATAAAATTAAACAAAACTGTTAATCCAGTTTCACTCAAATGAAGAACATGAAACAGAGAACTAAACACCACTGCAACAAATCTGTCACACTCAAGAAAATTGGAATGTACTGTAAGCAAACATGCCTAGGGAATATAGAACCTACAATCTGAACCTGCGGACCATTTAAGGTAAAAAAAGATTAAAAAATCATAGTGTGTAACTGACCCTTAAATAAGTTATTTTGGATTATTAAAATCCTCAGAAATCATGTTATCATGTATAAATATCACCTATAACTCTATTTTCATCATTCTATTGCAAATTCCTTGTGTCTGTCATCAAATCTTGACATATTAGCAGCCATAGAACTGTCCCAACCATGACACATGGACGTACTAAAGGCATTTCCAACACCAACAGTAAAACAGTGAAGAGGAGGCTATAGATGACGAAAGAAGAGATGACAGAACAAGACACCTGGTGCATCCCATGTGTTCGTGGCTGCAGATGTGCCAGTTTCATGAGACTCACAACCCATAGCAAGATGAGAAAAACTAACAGTATTTGTATAGGAAAATAACTTATAGGGGTGTCAATGACCCCATACAAAGCTTGTCTAACAGATTTATGTTTCAAATGATTGGTGCTGAAAGTGAATAAGCGACTGGAGTCGTGTATTGAGGGTATAAATTGCACAAAGCAACACTTACAAATTATGTAAACTGCTCCTATAGAGTGGAGGAATTTCTAGACAGCCTTGCGCTTGCATAACAATTCTGCAAGGAGGCCGGTTCGAACCAAGGACCTCCAGGCCACAAGTGGAGAGACTACCACTGCGCCAGGCCCGCCCTTCAGGAAATGCGCAAATACCACCGACATTTATAAGTGCATCTAACTCATGCACGGACAATGCGATTAGAAGTATACGTAACAGGGCACAGACAAATCCATGATCCTATAAAGTTTATCAACCAATAGCAAACTTTCGAGTCAATATCATTAGATAAATCAAGCTCATAAAAAGTCAAGGACATATAGAAAAAGAACGATTCCCAACGCATCAGTAACGATGGCAGATGGTTCATACAAAAAGATTAATTAACGAATACTCAGCAACCAACCTCTAATATGTGAAGAATCCTTTTCTGTCTCCCATCATCAGAAGTTGACAAGGGCCAACGACGCCTCTTGCTCTGAAAGGCAACTTTACGAAGAAGAAAAATAAAAATAGGATCACTTCAATTGAGCATAGCAGTACTCTTTTTCTTTGTAAGCAAATACAGTACTGGAGAGCCCTACTCTGCTACGTATACATTTATTATAAAAAGAAAGGAAATAAACAGCCTGTGCAAGGGAAAAAGGTTAAAAAGCAAAAGAAACGAAACTTAACAAAAGTTTATAAGTCGCTGCAACTAAACCTATATTTTCGTTCCCAATAACTGTGTTCGTGAAAAAACTGAAGAGTCTAAATACATAAAAGAAGTCACGTAAATTCACAATTGAAATTGCTTTTGCTCATAACAACAACAACTAAGCCTTTAGTCCCAAACAAGTTGGGGTAGGCTAGAGCTGAAACACATAAGATCTCGAAATGAACACATGGTTCTGGCACATGGATAGCTAACTTCCATGCACCCCTGTCCATGGCTAGTTCTTTGGTGATATTCCAGTCTTTCAGATCTCTCTTTACGGACTCCTCCCATGTCCAGTTTGGTCCACCCCGGCCTCTCTTGACATTATCAGCACGCTTTAACTGACAGTTCATACGATCATTGCATCAAATTATTAAAGAAATTATAAAAGAGTTAACTGCTAAAGTTACAGTTTCTTAGACTGTGCCAAGTCAAACCACGCATTACCGGAACCAATAAAGGAACCACATACAGATAAATAAAACTTCAGAGATAAATCAAAACAAGTAAACAAAATCAAGCGGAGCAGTATGTTGAACAACAATAATTGGAAGAAATATTACATCTGACATGCGTATAAAGACTTGTTTTTAGCTATGATCTGCCGTGAGCCCCCTCAACAGAATGTGCAGGGTTTGAAAATAGATCATACTACCTAATTGAATAGTTACCTGAGTGGAATTATGAAGCCATCTGGATCTATGGGTGCTCAAAAGTCAAGGCCAAATTAAGTCTAGTTTCAGGCAGCACAAATACCACAAGCTCTTACAGCAGCATGGCAATTCCCAAAGAGGAATTGAGCACAGCATTTACAGAAAAGTATAGGAATTCACAGGAATTTAGATTGCCGTACCTTGTTCAACTTGAGAAACTCCGACAGAAGCTTCATGGTTATTAGGGAGATGATGTACAAGTACGACTGGTTTTTCAGAACAATCTTCTTCAAACAAGAGTTTGTCATCAACAAATGAATCACCCTGTGGGCTAAGAGAATCTGATTCTTTAGATGGAATAGAAAGCCACAAATCGGGACGATGGTCATGATCATCTAGCGCATCACAATTCTGCAAAGCAGTATTTGCTTTGTGCAGTGAGAAGTTTTCTGAAGTCCAAAATCGGTATTGTGTTGTTTTATCTATGACTTCACCCTGCGAAGCCAAATTGAATTTTTTAACCATTGAAGACACTCTTCTACCAAGCTCTTTTGGATTGCTGTGCTTGCCCCCAAGACGTCTGCCAAGCTGGTTTGAAGTGTAATGAGAACATGAGTTACTAATTTCAACAAATAAAGAAAACTAACAACATGAGATAAACAATGTTTCTTATTAACACTAGCAATTTATGCATGGTTTGCGAGCTGCGATGGATCTTAAATAAATACACTGTAAGTCACAGAAGCTCAAATAAAAAATAATTCTCCTCGTTGAAAAAAAGGATGCATAGTACAGAAAACAACAATCAACTTTATATAATAACTATCTTCATGCCAGAGTTTTGTTCTATTTTTGTTACAGATTAGAGTCAAGAATGATAATGCAATGCCAAGAATTTCATGTCTTTATCTCATTTAAGTTGACGGGCCAGTCAATAAATTCGAACGTATTAATAGCATTGAAGCTAAAAAAAGTAATTGTGATGCTAGAAATGAGCCAGGTACAGCCCAGAAGGAAGGATGGGATGCAAATATGCCAGTGAGACACCTGCTTACATGAAACGATATCAAAAATTCTGCCAGAAACAATTCAGGGCTAGAACTGGCTAACATCTTGTGATAATCTGCACTCAATAGACTGTATTGTAGAACTGGCTAATATCATGTGATAAGCTTGGCCGTGTAATATAAGGTAGAGAAATTAATGATAGCTCAGATTATAAACTAATGTCGTTCTCTACTACAGAAAAATAGTTTTTCTTTCTTTTGAGTCTTTATTACCTCTGTGTTTCAGATGCAAACCACACTTGCACACTATACAACCCACGTGCCTCAAAAGGCCGATGGCCACATCACAGTGCCATTGTGGCTCATAGATAGTAAGGCTTGAGAACTATTTCTGGAATTCAAACCCTGGTGAGATGCCCAAGTCATCCCTGGGGATGGTGTTTGTGTCGGTGTTGGTGCTGGTGTACTGTATGCTGAGCTTTTGTGGGTGGAAACATGTACACAAGTGTGTCACTTCTAGAATGTTTAAAAACAATTACATCATAAACATCTGCACATGTGTATATGTAAGAACTACGTGGATGTGTTGCGTGAAGATAGTTATATTATATAAAGCAGGTGCAGAGAGTCAGAGACAAGGACACTAATGGTCTGTCGACAACGGAGTTGTGTTAGATAGGACAAGGAAGACGAGGGAGCCCTGGTGTGCTGCGGACATCGTTAAGGCCCCAGCCCTTGAAGAACAACCGCTATGACACTATGCAGAGGATCTTGCGCTTGGATTGCTGCATGCCATGGTGAGGTCCTACTCCGACTCCAGGTACCAGTTCACAGAGTTGCCTTGGCAGCCCCTGCTCTGGCACAAGATCTGCCTGCTCCGCTCTGAGAGCAAGCAGATGAGTTCGATGTGGTTGACGACTTCTTCGTGACTATTAATGGCAATTCGTTAGCAATGATAGGACAAAAAGGAAATACTGTGGAACCTGCCTAACTTAATTACCTTACAGGCAGGTTGGTTTTTCTATAAAAACCAGAAGAAACCATGGGCAAACAGCGCTGACCTACACTGCAAAGATACACCACCGTGGCAGTCCACATGATGCCTCAACCACTATGCACAGTTGATGTTGCACCCTCAACCTACCGCCACACCCAGTCATCGCTGTTGCTATAGTGTGAGACTGATCATAGCCACTGAACCTGTAGAAAAGGACCTCACATGGCAACAAGGACAACCTATGATCCGGTGGTGGCACCTAGGACTCACAAACCACTATATGTCCAAGGGAGATGGAAGTTGGTAAGTGTTTATTTATTTCTTCAGAAGGTATTATTTTCATTTTTGTCAGATAGTTCTATGGAGATAAAAGGGAGACGATTAAAATTACTGCTGTCCTGCAGGTTGCTAAATTAAGTAACCAGCTGCGGAAAAACCTATATCTTTTAAAACAAGTATAATATTTTCTGCCTGGTTGCAAACAGCTATGACAAGTTAGCTGAAAAATATGCATAACTGAAGCGAAGCTCTGGAAACAAAGAAACATGAAGGCGCTCTTGATGTTATGACGAAAGTTAGCATGCCATTTCAAAAAGAACACTGCACACCACAATTGCCCTGCTGAAAGTTTCAGAGAGGTACCTCAACAAGAGTTGCACCTTTTGGCCCTTGGGCATGGATCATATCGTATATGCAGTTGTCTAATGGAAGCTCCATAAGTTGATCCGTTGCAAGGCATTTCATGCCAAGTTTGTAGTTTAAGGCTGTACTTTTTGGCTTAAACTCATCTGGATTAAATTTCTTCAGAAGGCGCAAGCAGCCAACAACCTGGAAAAAGGAATGATTTACACAACTTGTAGGTTCATGAAGAATGCAACTGCGTAAATGATTGAAGCTTAAACGGTGCACTGCAGACTGAATTAACGGTGTCACTACATGCCCGACAGACTTTGTTAGCCCTTTCATAGCAGTTTCAGAAGAAGCTATTGCATACGTGGTTGCAGTCCCCAAATAGGTCATCATTGAATGGAATTGCTACAATCCTTGAGATAAGGTGTGGGCATGCTACCCGTGATTTCTCTTTTTTACTTCAATGCGAGTAATTTTGCAATTCATGCTTTTCTACCTCATGGAAATCCCTAGTCTGGCCTTTCCCATCTTTAAATTGGACTGTTTTATCTGGACTCTCGGGACTCAGTTATGTCAACTTACACTCTGCTTCAGATTAGTATAGTGGAAAACAGAACTGTGGCCATATATCCTTGTGAAAAAGAAAATCACCAGCGTAGTGAATCATCATTATGGTACAGTAAATCAATAACTAGCTTTTATATATTAAAAAAAACTAGACCAACAGGGGAGGAGCCCTGCAGATTTTTAATTACGAAAGAGAAGTGTGAGACCCACGTTCGAACCCACGAATTAAATCTCGTTCACCGGGTTCGAACCTGTGCCAGCTGGGACGCACAGTTGCGCTCCAACCACTGGGCTCTTAGCTCATCCACAGTAACTAGCATTTATGAAGGATAAAAAATTTAAATTCCTGCATTGTTTTTATTAATAAAGGTTATTATGTCAATTTCTTGAATTCTCATCCTTAACAAGAAGCACCATGAACCAGAAGAATTAAGCGAAAAAAATGTTAGGAAATGGTATGAGATAATAACACCAAATGATCAGAGAACAAAGGGGCAAGGTCAAACATCACCTTATTGTCAACTTTGGCACTGATTTTTTCAACAAGCTGTGCATCTAAAAGCCTACACAGTACCTAAGAAAAGGGTGTCTCAGTAGAATCCAGGAGTACAGAGAACATATGCAACAAGTGATTCCATGAACACCTACATTTCTCCATGCCCTGTGCCCACGTGGCTTGCTGTAACCAAGATCCTTTTTTATATCTGAAATAGCAAGGACCTATACATGTATGGAAAATAGTTGCACAAAGTTAGAAAACTGAAAACAAAAGGTAACACACAAACAAAAAGGAGGAGAACAGTCAACCTTTCCGCTGGCTTCTTCAAGTTTGTCACATATGGCTTTCATTGCTGGAAGATGATCGTGAATAGAGACATGGCTCTTGTGGTCTACACCAAGGGTCTCATCTTCTTGTAAAGCGTCTGTGTTTGTAATCTCTATTCTTTGATGCGAGTTCATATCCAATCCTTTGGCGTATCTTGAGAGATACAGTAAGTTGGTACTGCCGACAAGACTTTTCCCTGAATCATCTTCGCTCTCACCCCCAATGCCATTAGACTTTACAATTGCTTGTTTTCCAGCAACTAACCCCTGCGACTGAAGGGTCTTGACAACAAAATAGAACTTGTTTGGTTCTATGTGGAACCTCTTCGACAGAGTCCTTTGCGCAACACCGGAAGTCCTATGACAAAAAACAAGTTATTAATTGCACACATCATTATCAAAGCACTATTATTTTTTAATAAAAAGGTAAACGACATGATCAACACTGTAAGAAAGGGATAACAGGTAGTAATTCCCTTCCAAAAGTAGATTATAGGACTAGTGTGCACAAAATTGGAATGAACATAGACAGGGTGTCCGTAGACACACTTTGGCATGCCATATTGATTCCCACATGGCCTGCATATGGTGGTCATACTTAAAGAAATAGGAGTAAATCTTAAGCTTCCTAAACCAGTAAGGATGAGCCAATGTGGGCCTGAAACATCAACCTCAACTTCTCCTTTGAGTAAATAATACAACCATGTGGCATGTATAATTACTTAATTAACTAACTGAGTCAATCAATATAAGAATAGTAGTACAAGATTTCCAGATTCTCACCTGCTTGCAGCGACATGTTCCAGCGTCTTCCTCTGGTTGTCGCTGAGCTTGGAGCCGGAGCACCGGTGGTCGTAGATCCCCAGGAAGTTGTCCCCCAGGGCCGGGCTGGCGACCAGCCGGGCGCCGCGCCGCTCGGCCGCCTCCACGTCGCCCTTCTCCGGGGAGGGGACGAGCGCCCCCTCCTCGCCCTCCATGAGGCTGATGACGGGGAGGGCGAGGAGGCGGGCGAAGAGGACGCGCCTGACGGGCAGGCCGGGGGGGAGGCCGGCCGCCCGGAACGCGCCGGAGAGCGCGGCCCAGAGGTCCGCCACCGGGAGGCCCAGGGAGAGGCGGGCGCAGACCTCCTCCACCGCCGCCGAGACGAGCGCGTCCATTGCCCGGCCCCGGCGCGAACCGAACGCGGAGCGGAACGGGGCCCTCAGTCGTCGGCGTCGGGCGGGCTAGCAACCGGAGAGGGGCCGGGGTGGCGCCTGCATTGCCTGGCGGGTGAGGGACCGGAGCGGGCGGCCGGCGGAGGAGGTGGCGACTGGCGGCGGCGGTGCCTTACCCCTGGTGAGGGTTTTTTTTTTCTTACTTTTGGATGAGACGAAGGCGTTGTGTGTTGTTTGCTGGGCTTATTCCTTTAACAGGCGAGGATTTAGCCCAGCCCGGCGTAGCTGAAGACCATTGTTGGTTTTTTCAACAACAAAAAATAACCAAATGATAACGCCGGGCATGTTTGCACATCGTCCACACGCCTTGATCCACGTCGATTCTATTTTGCACAAATCCTAAAGGAATCTGTTAGAATATGAGGGCCACGTGGGCGTCATTGTATGTGTGGGCGTTCGAGAGTTCATTCACACACCCTGCAGCACGCGGTTTGCCAGTTGCGCTGGGTGGGCGAACTAGTTTCTGCCCACACAGCCACCACCTCGTCCATGCGCGTGTGGGCGAACTGCTTTTCGCCCACACGATATTTGTATGTTGTTGGATGGCAACTAGGTAAACACACATGAAAATTATGATTTGTTGCTAGACGGCAACTGCATTTGCGCGTACGTGGCAACCAGATAAACACACATGGCAACTACAGTTGATAACCATACATGGCAACTATGGTTGGACCACACGTGGCAAGTAGGTAAACACACATGACAATTATTATTTGACAATATGTAGCAAGTAGTTAATCATACATGGCAACTATGGTTTGATTACATGCGGCAACTACCATGAATTAAACATGGAAACTATAGATAACCTAAACAGAGAGAGTTATCATACTTTTACAACTATATTTGCCATCCCGGATGGCAAGTAAATCGTCATTTCACAGACAGTGGCGGACCTAGCCGATTGGGCCAGGGTGGGCCAACAGTGTTACTGTGGTACTGTACATGCACATTTAAATAAAAAAAAGCCTTACTCCTATGGTACAAACGGTATTTCCAAATCTCAGGGTGGGCCACTGGCCACCCTCTACCTCCGCCACTGTTCACGGATACCTAACGTAGCTGTATCAGGACGTGTGGGCATATTTACTTCGTGAAACACGCACGGGATAAAAATGAGTAGTACTTGTTGGGCGTGTGGCATGAAGTAGTAGTTGCGCCCACACGTGTGGGCAGTTCTAATATTCGCTCACACACAAATCGTATGGGATGCCTCCTGCTCACGCCACACACAGTGTATGGGCGAATATCTAATATGTCACACGTGTGGGCGTTATCAGGACCAAAAATAAACTCACCCCGGATGTGAAGCTGGTCTCTAGTTGCATTTTGTGTGGCCTGCTTCTTTTGAAACAACTTTAAAATATGTTTGCGAATTCAAAAATTATTGGTCAGTTCAAAAACATATTCATGAATTCAAAGTTTATGAATTTTCTAAAATATTCATGAATTCAAAAATGTTCCAAATTTCAGAAACTGTTCGCAGTTCAAAAAATGTTCATGGATCATTAAATGAGAAAAGAATAGGTCATCCACGCGAAGGTGCCTACCTCCATCATCTAGAGATGCGAGCGCGGAGCTCTTCGTGTCGCCACCAGTGTTGTGTGTTTTTTTTTTTTTTGAACAGGGGAGGGTCCCCAGGGACCCCGAAGCTTCCATTAAATTTCGGCGGTGGAGATACATATTACATTACGGACCAAAAGGAAAATAGAAATTACCACATTTGAGCATCGCAGCATGACCGACCGCATCGCCGCCGGGGACGAAACCACTTGGGGCGGTGCAGCGGGAGCACGTCGTACTGGAGCAAGAAGGCCTCCTTCTTGGCATAGCAGCCTGGAGGTTCAACATCACGTGATTAAGCCGGCCATAGGAAGCAGTAGCCGACGACAGAGGTGGGAGAGGTCGCCCTTCGACCATCGGGGGCAACAGTAGAACAAGAACTGTCGCGGATGCCCTCCCAGGAAAAGCTCCATACCTCCCCTGTCGCAAACCCGCCTCGCCGCAGGCCAGCAGGACGAACCCCATCTCCTTCACATCCCCATGAGCAAAGAAGAAAAGACACACACCTGGAACACGATGAACAGGTCTGCCAAAACGAGCTTTATTAATGGAGGTGCCAGCATAACTCCTCCCCATCACCATCGGCTCCGACCATCGGAGCTCCGCGACGAGAAGAAGCGCCACCAGACAGGCCAAGATCCAGCTCGATGGATCCGACCCCCACCTCCCGGCATAGAGCCGACGACCAGCATAAAGCCGAAGACCCGCAACTCGTGGAGACACCCTAAAAGTACTAGAACTACTGCTACTATGTACAGCCCTAACTCCGGCGCCTCTCCAATCCCACTCCCGACCGGCTACTCCGGTGGAGAAGGCATCGGATTGGCCCGGCCGCCAGCGGTGGACTCTCAAGGGAAAGGAGAAAACGAGAGACTTCTCGGGAGAGGGGAGATAGAAGAACTGGTTCCCACTGTTGTGTTCAATCCAAGCCTTCCCATACATTCACTCTCTTGGCAGACAACAACGTATTATTTTTACTAAATGACCCCCTGAAGGTCCTTATTTCTCCCACTAATCCTCCAAAATACTTATTTCGTCCCCTGACCCTCCCCCCTCCCCGCCCCTCCTCGTATCGGACCAGCAGGCGCGAAACTTGCACGCGGCCGACAGTGTGGCATCCGTCAAACACCCCCAACCAGACGACGCGAGTCAACCGGATGAGCCGGACTTGTACGCATGACCCTGTTATCGCGGGGTCAGACCATCTGATATATCCAAGTACCTGTGGGTGCGATAGTTGCATCCGGCTAACATATCAGATAGTCTGATATGCTCCATTGACATGATGGGCCATTCGGCGCGATACAAAGGGCGGATCATCTGGAATGTTAGGTTGGCTCGGTTGGGTCATTGTGGGCCATAGCTGCACGTAGACGTTGGGCCATTCGGCGCGATACACGGGGAAGATGATCCGGCATGTTAGGTTGACGCAACTGGGCCGTTGTGGTCCTAGCTGCACGTAGCAACACCTACTTACTAGGAGTTATACCGAAATAAAAAAAATACCTTGCTAGGCGCTTAAAAGTTGGAGTGTCCGGCTCTCCATTATTGTGTGACTGTTGTGTGGCTCCACGATGGCATTGGAAGCATCATATTTAGCCTTCAAACCCTGGTGAAACAATCTGTCATTTCTCCCGCACCGGCCCTCGTCATCCTCTTCCCCGCTGTCACTCATCCTCATCTTCCCGGCATCGGCGCCGCCACCTACACGCGCCTCCGCCGTGTGGGATTTGTTCTCGATGGCCGATAAGCCGACTCTCCCAAAAGCCAAGGAAGGAGATGGTTGAACAGTACATGGAAGAACTGGAGCGGCAAGTTCGTGCTAAGATTGCCAGAAAGCGGGTTGTTGGCGGGGCAATCCCATGGAGGGAGGATCCAACAATCCTTCTGCTCATGTAAGTAATCCCGACGCAACATATGTACCGTTGGTTGATTTCAAATCTGTAGGATCTATCCTTTGTGGGTGGTTACAATTTTTGATTATGCATGTAGCATTACTGATTTAATCCTATATTTGTGGGATAGTTTAGGTTTAATCTGGGATTCAAATGTCTGGATATGTACGTACTTAATTTAGTATCAGGGTTTTCTAAAGCGCAAAATCCATTCGAAATCAGTAGTGATTAAATCTATCATTATAGTTGGTATTTGAAATATCCCAACAGCACTTTGGTTCAAATTTTTAGATCTGCCAACGCAGTTGCGTGGCATTTGAACATGCAGTTAGCAGATTCATCAGTTCGTTTGGATATAGTGGGTACTGTATTTCATTTATTCCCACACGCGGTTAGTAGAGTCATTAGTTCGTTTGATTGCATAAATGGGTTGTCCATGCTGATGTACATATCGTTCTCTCTCTAGATTGCTTATTCAAGAATTCCATGGTGTATGCAGTTATGAATTGTATTAGTTCATTGGTCTTTAGATTGCTCATTCAGCAAACGGCAGTCGTGCTATGGCGAACCTTGGCTTCGCTGCTGTCGACAATGTCCCGGAGGATAATAATGTAGAAATAACATGCGTTGCCCCCATGTTTGGTTTGGTAATTGATGACAATCTCTATGGACTAATGGTTGCCTTGAGTTTATTTGAAGGATTTATCCATAGGCTTTTCTTGAAGTTCATATGTTGGTTTCAAGGAGTTTATGTGTGGACCAAGGTGCTATTCAAGGAATTATCTAAAGATTGGTCTTGATGCATGGTTTATCAAGACTAAGTCAAGAGTGGATCAAGTTGATCAACACACAAAGCATACAAGATGTATCGAGAGGGATCAAGTGATCTCATGGTATGGTACGGTAAGCATTATCCATTACGCTTTGTGTACTAACCCATTGTCTACGTGAGAGTACACACAAAGCATACCTCCCCTGCCTCTTCTTAATATAACTAGTCATGGTTTGGATGCTTCTCGTCGTCATCTATTCAACAAGCTTGAGTTTGCTCAATTCGGAGCTCATTTGCAGAAGTTGTGGCAGTTTAGGCTTTATTGCATCCTCTGTTTTCTTTGTTGTGTTCCTGAAAGCCTCAAGCGGTAGTACTACTGAAGGAAATATGCCCTAGAGGCAATAATAGAGTTATTATTTATTTTCTTATATCATAATAAATATTTATTATTCATGCTAGAATTGTATTAACCGGAAACATAATACATGTGTGAATATATAGACAAACAAAGTGTCACTAGTATGCCTCTACTTGACTAGCTTGTTAATAAAAGATGGTTATGTTTCCTAACCATAGACAAAAGAGTTGTTATTTGATTAACGGAATCACATCATTAGTTGAATGATCTGATTGACATGACCCATTCCGTTAGCTTAGCACCCGATCGTTTAGTATGTTGCTATTGCTTTCTTTATGACTTATACATGTTC